CAGGGCTCCCTCAGCAAATAGTTCATTGTCATAGCAACATAGCACATTTCACGAACTGTCTGGCATTGGCAGCTGGTGAGCGTGTTCGTGAAACTGAGAGAGCTCGACTCAAAGACAGGGGGTGGGGTACAGGGTTTCAATTGGCAAAAGTCTTGCCGCGACGGGCGGGCAGATTCTTTTAGTCGATGCACGTGCAGATTGCCTTCTATTCTATTCTACAGTAACCAGCTTTCTGGGGGCACAGGCGTTGAAAGGTACACCATTGAACCGAGCGGCCTTGCACCGTCATAGTATGGCTGTACGTATTCCCGGACTTCAGCCCAACTTTCGCTTGACAGCACGGGGAAAGTCTCACGTGGACATCACATTGGGTTTTCTTGGCTTACCATCAGCTGAGATATCTTCTCTGGGCATTCCCTTTGTAGCACCCCGCTTGCATCGGTGCGCTCCAAGGTTCTTCGGGTGCCGATCCTGCAATGCCCAAGAGTAGAGGTTTTCGTTTACAGAGTTTTCGGCCCAACCCTTGGGCTATATACGGCTCTGTTCACGTGGGCAGGGGGCGGGGGTAATTTTGATTTACATAAGTGCAGCTGGCATGGGCTTGCTGGATGTGTACTGCAAGGCTGCAAGGTCCCCTTTCATGATAGCACCCACGTCCAGAGCCATTTCTCGGCATCTGCAAAGTCTCTGAAGTGACCGCCGCCTTCTTAGCTTCGGTCAAGGCTCTTTTTCTTCGGACACACAGGGCTTTCCGGGGTTTTGTTTTTGCACCAGTCGTATTGCCGTGTCGCTATGCCAGGAGAGGGTGCGTCTTCGAACCCTATCCTGCAAAGCATCACTGCAAGAGATGCGGATCTTGATCCACACTCGTTGTTGCCGATGGATTTTTGTCGACGTCCCCGAAGCCTTCGACCCATGAAGACTTCAAGACTAAGACCGCGAGATGCCGTTCTCTGGCCGAAAAACAAGACCCTCTGGATGTGCATGCGGCCAAGATTTCACGCCAGCGCGTTTGTCTCTGATCTGGTTCGTTGAGGTTGCATTGGTAAACTGACATAAACCTTCCAAGCTTTCTAAGTAAACCCTCGGCCCTACACCTGGGTGTATTTCAAATGTAAGTACGCCCAAAGCCCTTCGCATCGAACCCGCCGGATCTGGAGCCTTTCGGATTTAGGCCGAAGACTCGCTCATCTCAAGAGTTGAAGCTTCTTTCCTCAGCCGAATCGCACCACGGACCAGGAACCTTCTGTGCTTGGCAGGTTAGTCAGACCGGACGTCAGCCTTCTGCGCCGGCCTGGAGCCCTGCACAGGGGCTTGCGCGTTAGGGGAAGTCTGAGGCCCAAGCAAGCGAGGTTTTTGCATCTTGCGTTGAAGGTTCCGGGTGCTGCCGGTCTTGGTGTCATTTGCTTACAGCGTTTACCGTGCATTGTTATTAGCTTTTGCACGCTGTTATTACTGTTTTCATTGTTTGATATTCTTCTTCTGGCTACAAAATATGTCAAAATCATGTAGCACACATATATATATATATACATATATGTATACACCCATGCACATAAAAGATCGGCTTTTCTAACCATGATAGCATATTGGCCTGCGGCATACCAGAAGCGAAACAATGAGCTAGCAATTTTCCCAGGCATCGTCTTGGCAGGAAGAGGTCCCGGCTGCGAGAGATACACCAAGCGCTGAAGCTGTGGAGGCCGAAGTACGAGCCAGGGTTTTCCAGATGTCTAGAGCTCTGGGCTGAAAGCCTCGGAATACAAGGATTGGGAGGAATTTCCATGTCTGCAGTCGCAACGGCTAGATTTCTCGGCAGCAGCCGCCGCGACTTCCAATACGGAGAACTTGGAGGCCCTAGTTCCGGGAGTCGAGTGCTTCTCGCTTCAACAAACCGAACCCGACCCTTGAAACTCCCAAGCCAAAGCAAGCCTTGCAATCTAGAAACCAAGACAATCCAAGACACAAGGTGACAACAAAAACGGCATGACAACGACCGTGCAAACCAATCGTAATCAGCATCTCCCGTACAGAAGCATCCCCTCCCTGGGTGCATCCATCCATCCATCTACTCATCAATCAGCAACAGCAATAGTTGCCTTTACACTTTGCGCAAGAAGACTCGGAGTATTTTCCTGCAGTTCAAGTCGTAAGGAGGACTGGGGGGTCGGGGGCCAGTGAGCGTTCCTCCCGTCCTCGTCGTCAGCAAGCCAGTAGAAGCAAGCACAGCTGCAGTAGCACCAGCAAGAACGATGTCATTGCATCTGAAACCACCCAGGTCGAGAGCTCATCGGCGAGTGCGCCACAGAGTGATTATCTGAGCAATGTGGGTGTGATTGGGGCAAGGGCTCATGAGCCGAAGGAGAATGTGGAGTCCTTTTTTGCTGAAATGACTTGTTGAAGAAGATTCGCAGCTACATAGCTTTTGATGGGTGTGAGGCTGCTAAGATTTCAGCTCTTTTTCGGGGTTGCATCGTTTTCGGCTTTGGGCTTGTGCTTGGTGTCACGGACAGAAACACGAGCACATGGACGTAGACTCTTTTGGGGGCAGTTGCTATCCCGTCTTCTTCGGGAGTCTTGGGTTGGAAACCGAACGCCCGTAGGAGCCATGCATGTACCAGTGACTCCGGAATAGTGTGCGTCTCTTTCCACACCTACTCCAGCATGTTTCCGGCAGTACCGGGTGCACACCATTTTTGATTTTGCATCTGCCTGCTACCGGCGCTAGGGGTCAGCAGTAAAGAGAGTTTTGCTTCCCAAGCCGAGTCACGCCCACGAGCGAGCTCAGAGGTACTGTGGAGGAGCCTGCAGCACCGACGAATGGATTTAAGGCTCCGTGGGTGTTTGTCCACCAATGGTCCTCACAAATGGGCAGCTGCCGGTCATAGGGCTCTCAAGTTGCAGGACCTTTGATACAGGGGCAAGCTCTTGTACCGGCAAGGCTCAGCTCTTTTGAGCCGGAAGTCTAGCTTACAATTTCGGGGACCAGGTGCTGCTGCCCTTGAGCGGACAGATGCTGAAATCAACCCGACGAGCCGATGCAAGAAGCTTGAAACCCTCCCCAGCAAAAGACTCGAAGGGCCTGTCACCCTAGGCTTCCTGGTTCCTGAGCCACTGCAGGAGCCTGACACTGAGTTTACCCCCCCGGCGTCGCCGGCACCCAAAGGCTAGGCCAGCAATGGGTGTGTGGCTTTGGAGTCCAAGCGTGCAAGTTACAGGGTTGCTAGGTTTCTTGGCCACCAATTTGCAGTTTTCTTCTTTGGATGGTGTCTCATAGCAACCACAACAACGACAAGTGTTCGAGATTTGCCGAGGCGCTGCTTCTAGCTGCGCTTAGATACCAAATAGCCAGGGCCGCCAATAATCGCATTGCCACACCGCCACGCCACTACGATGGTGTCCGCTAGCTCCGGAGAAGTTTGAATTCTTTGCAGTTTCGCCTGCGCCGACGACAAACTTCCGCGATGGCCTGGGTTCGCTGCGCGACGTTCTGCGAGAGGACGGACGGGGAGGGTTAGTGGCAGCATTAGTTTTGCAATGTCGTCATCTCTTCTTTAGCTGAAAACTGTGGAGCTGTGGAATCCCTGTCAAAGGCGTTACCCGTTACCCCAGCCCAACAACCTTCAGACCTCTATGCCTTGCAAGCTTGCTAATCTAGAACAGCACATTGTGGGTTCCTTCAAGGGATCTTTCGGGGTTCCTTTAAGGGATCTTTAGCCCTGCTTTGGGGGGAGGTTCAAGAATGATATTGGTTTAGGGTTTGGCTTTTGGGGTTCGGCACATTTGTTGACCCAATACGGGTAATTAGGGTCTACGATGGAGGCCCTCAATTGCTCGTGGCACGCTGAATGAGTCGAAACACTTCGGGGTGATGCTGGACGGCTGCGCCAGATGGGCTCCAGCAACATGTTCCTTCTTCCTTGGATAACTAATCAGTGAAGTATTTGACAACTTTTTTGTTGGGAGTGGGGGATGCGCGGTTCATCTGTGAGCAACCACAAATGTAAACTTCCAGATGCAAGCGTTCATGGTGTCAGCACATGGAGTGGTAAACAAGCCAACCGGCAAGACTGTCCAACTGCCCTGAAGCTGACTTCACTTGCCCCAGCTTTGCCCAGTCTTCGCAACATATCCGAATCGTCTCCCCGCTCCACCCTGACAATACGAGCGGCCAATCACCAGAGACCTTCCAATTGCAGCAGAGTGATCATTTCCTTTCATAGTTGGGTAAGCCCTCAACAACGCCCACTTATGCGCGCTGTTCAGGTGAACAGACCTCGGTGACTTGCACAGGACTGTGGATATCTCACATGCGGAATCCTGTCAGTGCTGGTGCATCAGAGAAGTGTTTAACGTCCAGGTAGTCGGTCTTTGTGTTTACGGCGCCACCTATCCTAAAGTCCCGGCTCCCGGGGGCTTTTAATATTCTGAGACTGGCAATGTTTGAAGTGTTAGAATCGTCGCACTTTTGGCAGAATACTGCAGTTGCATGTGATGGGTTCTTGGTATGGGGCTCTCAAAACACGAGGCGGATCCGAATCCCAAAGCCTGCAAAGCAAAGGGGGCCATTGCTTGAAGCGAGGCTTGGCGATTCCCTCTATGTCATGTTGCAGAGTTTGCGATCCTCTTGGGTCAAAAATGCACTCCTGCCACCGGGAGACCTCTTCACACCCAGGGCTAAGCCCGTATCTTCTAAAGAGGCTTGACAGTAGGCCAACCCTCCCACGCCCGCACCTTGAAGACACGACAGTGCCCAAAGTTTCCTGAAGCTGCAGCGAGACGGCACTCTCTTTTCTCCTTGAGATCCCGAAACCTTCGCAGATACGTATAAGTTTTTCCACTACAGCCCTTTGGTTTGTGGATGGGCGGCAGCACAACCCCTCCTCCCGGCCTGTGCAGCCATGTGCATCCAAAGCTAAGGCCCCCCCAGGAACAACTTGTTGTGTTCGTCTCAGACAGTCGGGCTTCTCGGGTCCCTGGCTGGGCTTCGTCTGGGAGCCATGGTGGGAACCTCCGGTCTCGCCGGGGCGCCGGGGTCCCCGGCAAACGTTGAGCGTATGATGTTTGCATGCAGTACTTTGCAGTACTTCACACGCCATGTTTCTTTGACGGAGGCCAGCCCTGGCCGTAGCCGAGACGGCGGAGGAGGGCATGACATCGGAGCGAGCCATGTCACCCAGGAAGTCTGCGCCAAACTTTATAAGTACTGGTGGCAACCGTGCTGCGAGTGCGTACCTGAAAGATCGCCGCAGTAGTTAGGCTTGAGGTTTTCGGACAGGATTCAGAGTTCGTTGGCTTCAGATTTCTGAAGCTTAATGATAACGCCTGCCCCCAGCCACGCATCCAGTTATGTTCCTTCGAGGGGCAGAGGGCTAGGCGTCTTCGCCCTTCGTGCCATTGCGGTTTGCATTGAAGCGACAGCAGGGGGCGAAACCTGACGTTCCAACCAAACCTGAGAAAGCTTTCCAAGAGCTCAGATAACGCTGGTCGACGGAACCTCGGTTGAGATCCTCCGCAGCCCCAAGATGATGCTGGGCTGCACTTTAAAGAATCCTCAGTGGGGCGTGTAGCAGTCGTTTCTGGGAGGGCCGCCTCGTCCTGAAGCTGACACCCGTATCCATAGTTACTCGTGAACATGCAACTCTGCTGCCCTGAGCCGGTCAGTTGTTTGGCGTCAGGGGCGTCCGTTGTCTCTCTGCTTCAAGAAACCCGACACAGCACTGTCACTAATCCGCTTGCAAGGACGGATGTGCAGTGGCAAGAGACGAAGACGCCGCTCGGCTTAAGGCAACAGCTTGATGGATTCCGACCGAGTCTTCGGGACACAGTACTAGTCAGCAGTGTTCAGTGTTTAACCTAAGCATGCCTGGCTTGTAGAAGGCCTCATATTCCGACATGGCGCTCAAGTGTTCAGGAATCCGAGCGCAAGTCTACAGCGACTTTCCTGTGGATTCGATCATTCATGGGCATGTCTAAGCCGCAGCTACAAGGAACGACATAGCAAGCTCGGTCGACTATAGGAATGAACGAACTTGGTTCTCCTGTCTCTTTCCCAGGTACTTGCAGAATAATCCGTCAGAGACAAAAAAGCGCCGACCCGAGACGCGTCGACTGGGACTCACTGCAGCCCTTATATAGCTGAATTGGATGTATCGTGTTTCAGGATTCGCGAGGTATGCTTGCAGCAGTAAAGGGTTCTGTCAACGAGGGTGATGCCAGTAGGGTCGTCTGCAAACATGGAAGTGTTTCAGATACATCTGTATGCAGCTTTGCCTGAGTATGGATGTAAATTTAGCAATACCTGCAGATGCGTCTTCATAAACTTGTGGTGTGTGCGACCCTGACTTTACCAAGGAGGTGATAATCCCTTCCCCCTAATATAAAAGGTCCCTCCAATATAAGAACTGGATTTCGGAGGTTTAGTTTTTATATTAGGGGGTGTTTCGGTGCACCCACGTACCCGGACTCCCAGCTGCTATCCTAAGCCTGGAGCCCTGAGGCCCTACTAAAGCCCTAAGTCTTAAACCTCGAGCCCCAAACTAAAGCCCTGAGCCCTAAAGCTTTAGCCCTGAGCCCTAAACCCTTAAACCCTAAAGCTCTCGTGTCTCTTTAGTACTGCTGTAATCTTTGGCTCTATAAAGCCCTGAGCCCTAAACCCTTAAACCCTGAAGCTCTGCTGTCTTTAGTACTACGGTAGTCTTCCTTCAATTAAAACACATACAGATCTGCCACCCCCTAATGTTGTCCCTTTTAAATTGAATGCGGGGCCCGAAACCGCAAAATTCCGGGGGCCGGCAGTTTTTATATCAGGGGGGGGTTGAATGTTCAGGGGAGGGATTATATGGACTAAACTAGAGAACTCATGCAGATACCTGACACAATCAGTGAGGACAACTCGGCCACACCATCCATAACGCCTTGCTGCATTGCCACGCAACAGGAAACTCTCAGAACAGAAGAAACGGGTTCAGGGCTCAGACACTCGAACAATACTGAAGTTCTAGTGCGTCGTAGTTTTGAACCGGGGTTAGCGCGGTTTCCCTGGTTTCTGCTGCTTCCACAAGCGTTGTAGTTTCCATTTTTCATTTTACCTATCTGTTTATTAGAGGTGTCGCAATGTATTTTGGCATAAACCCTGCTTGTGTCAGGCTTATAGAGCACTCCACGAACCCTGATCGTATTCGAAAGCAGAAGATGATGCGCTGGGGCCCCAGGTGATCAGCTTTGGCTGCTTTCGCTGTTCATTTCTCATGGATGCCTCTCGCTGTTCTGCTTCTGTTCTGACAGCTGCTTCCATCAACAGCCTGTGCTACACCATTCCTCACAGAATTTCGAGCTGCCACTCCGGTCCGACTTTAGCTGTGAAGCCACCAGGAGCGATCGCAGACGTCTGGCAAGGTCAGATTGATGACAGCAACCAGGCACTTTTACGAGTTGATTCACCCTTGAGGGATTATGCACTCGGTCTTGGTGATGGTTTTGAGTCACGCTTCAAGAGGAACCTAGATGTCGGCACCGGCTTTGCCAAGCCTGCTCTCAATCCCCGCTCTAGACTGCTCCACAGGACTTTGCCAAGAGGATGAAAGCCCCGAGCTCAACCAAAGCCTCGGGGGGTGGTGGGGCGGCGGGGTCGGTGCATGCCTCTTATGCAGCCTGGCTCAGCTTTGCAATGCACTAGAAGAAAAGGTTGCCAGTCATCCAAGCCTAAACCTATCCTAAACCTGCATGCCTCAACCCAATACTGTAAGCTCTTCAGAGGCAGTGCTATTCCATCAGCGCGGGGTCGTAGAAGCTACTACGTAGTAGTACGAGCAAGCAGATGCATGTAGCTGCTGCATGAGGAGGAGGATTGTTGTGGCAACAGCCGTCCGCTTCAAGCTGTAGTAGCGCGGCACGAATCGATGTTTACAGACAGATTTGCTTCTTCATCCGCCGCCTGTTAGTTGTTCAGTTAAGGATTTGGAGCAGGAGCCCGAGTTCGAGGAGCTGCCTGCACCTTACATTTCGGAAGTATTGTGGTGTTGCATTCACCCCCGCCTGAGAATGGACTCCCAAGCTGCCGCCGAGGTTCAAAGCTGTGAAGGACTATCAGGTTCAGCAGGCCTCGGATTTCATGTTTCCTGTTCTTACAATCATGATTGACTATAGTATAGGTGTGGACGCATGCAAGCATGCGCGGCGGCGCGCAGGAGGTGTTAGCTATGTGGCCCTGTGATCTAAGGTGGTTTCCCAGGCGTTATGGATTTTGGTGCAGTCATGTAATAGTTGACGAAAATGCTGTTGCAAAACTCTGGCAGGAATGCTGATCAGCTGCGTCATGATGGATCGCTTGTAGGGCGGAGTGTAGCAGGGGTTGGTCGTCCGCCCGTTCGTCTTGCAGCACCGATTGCGGCGTGTCGGTCCGCAACGAAACTGGTTGTTGTGGCAGTTTCAGAGCTATACATAGACTCGCGTTGGATACAAGCTTTGTAGAAAACCCAACCGATTGAGCCCTCGCACTGTCGACTGATGGCAGATCCGACAGTATCTGGATGACAGCGAGCTCATGCAGAAAATTAGCGCCAAGATGGGAGGTGCCAGACACCCAGCTTGCAAGCGTAAAACCGTGTGTCCAAGACAAACCGGGTCAGATGGGTGATGAGGACTGGCAATCCGTTGCAGACACCTCCCCAGGTCCCAGAGCAGGCGAAGCCGCACTTGGAGAGTCTGCGCAAGACGCCGCCGGGGAGCCTGGATACCGGATAATCCTCCCCGCCTTTTTTGTTGATCAGAACCGGTCGCTAGACGATTCCGGACCCACCAAGACTTCAACCCCAAGTTTTTGATGCGTCAGTCCCACCGACGAGGTCGAGGATGCTGGAAAGCCTCCATAGACCTTCAGCAGCGTGTCTCTGTATGTCATTCCTCTGAAGTTTCACAGGCTTTGACCGGCCTTCTGCCCAGAGCTCTATAAAACCAGCCCCCAACCTTGAAGCTCCCGGAGGCTCACTCTGCAGGAGGCTGGTCTGCCCTGGAGCCGTCATGGATCGTGAGCTGTCTTCAAAGGTACTGATGATTTGCCATCCCAGGTCGTAATAACTTGCCAGGTGTCGCGATTCGGGGGATCTGTGGATTTTCGGTAGTGCCGTCCGAAGCCCTTTCATCTCCAAAGCGCTGAGCCCCTATAGACGGCGCGGGCGGCGGGGAGGACCACTGACTGACCCCTCCGCATTTGACCACCCCGCACACAGGTCGCACAGTGTTTCCACAGCCACGCAGCTGATCAACAGTTTTTGTTGCTTAGTCTCATGACTGTGTGTGTTGCCAGCATTTACTACGAAGATGCGAGCAAGTTCAAATAACAATAGGACAGACAGAAGCGCTGGACAGCCTCAAGCGTTAACTCCAAGCCCTTTGACACCTTTGCTAGGACAACACCTTCAGTTCTGCACGGCAGGCCTGCAAGTTCGGCGATCTGGACGCAGTTAAAAATTACCTCACGGAGTCGGGGCCTCGGATGCAAACAAAACTCAGCCAATCGCGGCTTCGCTGTTTGGCATTCTCGCTGAGGCTCAAGGGAGTTGGAATTCAAGACTAAGGTTTCGGTTGAAGCATGTTCGGCTTGGCCATGCTTGACTAACTCGGGCTTCTGTTTATCGTTTTCAATTGGGTGAGTGAAATTACTGCAGTCTGCACACCTCGCGGCAAATGTTACCACAAGTTTGAGGCACATGCAGTGTGTATGTTGCTGTTCGCCCGGCTGCTGCTCGTGACAAGGACGGACAAGCATCCCGGCAGCCGTGATCTAGAAGCCAAAGATCAACGTGGAGTAACATGTCTAGGCAGGGTCGGGTTCGTTTGCCCCGAGCTGAAGTCTGAGAGATCTGCAGCAGCCCATGAGCTTTCCGGAGATCTGCTCTTTGCAACTGCGATTGGTCGTCGGTCTGCAGATTACACCTGAAGTTTTACGTTTTGGGGACTGAGGATGGCAGCTCGGAGAGAGTAGCCCACAGGAGGGTCACTTGTCCCTTTCCAGGTTATGCTGTGGGTGCTGACCGCATGCCGATTACCCAACTCTTAGTCGAGGCGGGAAGGGATCCCAACGAACATGAAATCCCAAACTCTCACCCTGAAGATGTGCCGGACATGCAGGGCAAGAAGGTATTCGGGTTCAACCCGATTGACATTAGTGTTTCATTTCCAAGGTTGCGCACATGACGAACCGAGGTGACTGTATGACATCTCTGGACGGGGTCTTCGACTGCCGAAGTGTGCTCTCTTCCGATCTCTTCAGAAGTTCGGACCAAAGTAAAGCGTTCTTTCAGAACCTTTGAACGCGCGGTTTGCCCTCGTTTCTGTCTTTGCAGGTCAAAGCTGACCCTTGGCCGCAGTTTCGAGTCTGGTAGGATGGAAAGGTGCGTTTTGGTCAGTGTGGCCCACTCTGTTTTGTTCGCTACTGAGTACTTCATGACCTGACATGTTGCCACCTTCCCTTTCAAGACGAAGATGCTGAGCGTTGGATCAAGCTTTCGAAGGTTTCTTCAGAGGATCACGAGTCTATGAGAAGTTCAGGACCTCAACTGCGTGGACAAGGCGGAAAACAGCAGCCTTCACTATGCTGCGGGCTATGGCCGCCAGGACCTGCGACATACTGTCCTCTCAGCGGCCTGAACGTCTCCCAAACCGGCTACCTAAAAAACGCGTGCCAGAGGCCGGCAGGCGCAGAACTCAGACCTTTATGGTTGAACCCTTCACTTGTCTCTAATGCCTAGACTTCTGTAAGACTTACAATGCAACTCCAAACGGCAGCCCAGTACACGATCGCGAAATCGACAATGTGAGATACAAACACGCACGCAGAGATGGCTTTATCGATCTGTTTCGCAGAGGCATCTGGGGTTGCATGGTTTAGTCAGGTGGTAAACTTGGCCTGTTGTATCAGGAGATTCTGGAATACCTTCTGAGCCAGAAGGCCAACGTCAACAAAGAGAATAGCAGCCGGAGGCTCATTCGCCAATCGAGCTGGAACCTGGACCTCAGACCCGCAATCTCTTCGGCCAGCTCAGATATCAACTTAGGAGACTGCAAGTAGGTTGACTGTCTCCTGTCTAAACATAAGCAGGAAGCACTTCCCGAATCCCAAGAGCCTCTCTGTTCATTCGGCAGCTAATCCTGCTGCTGATTAATATACTTAGCTCTCGTCCTTTTGAAGACCAGCCTTCTTTCGTAACTTTACGTTTGTCTTTGTCTTTACGTTGTTGTTGTCGCCGCGGCTGCCGTTGCTTCTCGTTCCATGCCATCCAGAGTGTGTAATGTGTGTACACAATTGTGGGAAGGATTTCGGAACTTGCGCGGGCTTCGAGGGATCTGAAGGCGAAAAGTCATCCCGCTGAGACGTCAGAAGATCCTCGGAGCGGTTCCGTTGGCGCTAAAACTGTGCGTCAGTCCAAATTGGACCAGAGTCTGCCGAGGTGGACAAACCCCCCTCGCAGTGGCCATCAAGAACGAGCAGCATGGGTCTCAGTGTGCGACAGGTCGGGATGAGTGCTCATCGCCCTGGTATCGCCCCACTCTGCACCTTGGAGCGCATCCTCGCACAAAGCTCCCAAGTTGGACCGGGATTCTGGAGCTGCGGCTGAGCTTCAGGCGCTCAGAATCGCTGAAAAATGCATGGCCTCTAGTTGCCAAGGTTGAAGATTGTGGAGCTGCTGAAGAGCAAGGGCGCCAAATGAGGAAGATATCTTGCGAAAGCTCCTCAAACAGCCTCGTTCTCTCCGCGTGCGATCTTCCCGCCCCGGCGCAACCGCGAGCATAAAGGGGCTCGGACTGCGTCTTCCGCGAGCAGGGGAAAATGATGCCAAGAGACTCGTGTCAGCTGTTTGGTCCAATCACTGTTGGAAAGAGATGTGGAAGTTGCGCGATTGAGCAATAGAATGGAAAGTGAAGGGGGGGGCAAGGATTCAGGATAACGATAGAGGCAATCGACTCTAACGGTAGCAGTCCTCTCAATCAAAGAGGAAGAAGAGTAACAGAGAACAAACAATGAGTAGCAGCGGCGGTCGCAACCACCGCAGCTGTCCCTGCCACCACCAACACTGGTCTCACAAGCAACCACACCAGCATCACCAGCAACAGAACCAGAAGCACCAACAGCAACAACAACAGCAACAGCAGCAGCAGCACCTGAGAGTAGCTTCAACAGCAGCAACAACTACAACAATGACATCTTAAACTTCTTGTTTGTCGACAGTTTAAAAGGTATGGCACGCGCTTACATTCCAAGAGGGACGATCAGCTGAGTTGTCAGCAACATGCTGCGGTGCGCGGTGGCAGCAACAGCAAGAGACGCCGCAACAACAAGGACATGCCATTAACGCGACAACGCGAACAGTACGAATGCCAACAACGACACTCGCCATCTAAGACAAAAGGACGTGCGGCGGCCATGCAGCACTGGAACCAGGCCTTTGAACATTCGGAAGTTAGAAATTGGTGACAACGACCGTAGCTGTAATGTTCATATTACTGATGTCTTCGGAAACCGAACACTGCATGCTTGCTTCGAAATCTGTGTGAGGCTCAGGATTTCAGCGAGACACTTTCATGTAGTGTTTCTCCGTTGCTCCAGCTTCAACGTGGCATGATTGAGTGGTCCAAGCAGGAATCAGAGCCTCATGGACACAGTCATTACATTACAGAGGTAGCTCTGTACTCGCACCCAAACAGCAAGAGCACCAACAGAGTGCACGCCTGTGTCGGGAACACTATGGTGATGCCACACTGTTGGGCGAATAATTGTACTGCCATGAACAGCAGAAACAACGACAGCAACGACGACAAGACCATGACAGACAAGCAAGACTTCTGCCCGCTACCAGCTTGTAGCTCTTGTGCGCTTCCAAAGGAAGTGATCTGAGAAACAGTCTGATCGCGGTGCAGGCCTTCAGTGAAGAATCCGGTCTTCTAGCGAAGCTTCAGGATTGCAGGGGTATCAAAAAGGTTGCTAGTGCCGTGGCAGGTCATGGCCTCACAGTCATGTGTTTTCTGAATGTTCAGGTCGCTCGCATTTTGCAAAATGCGGTATACACAAACGACGGGGTGCGCTGTTGGAACCATGCATGGCTCAGTCAATACAGAGTCGGATTCCGGCGCCTTGCGGCCATTGCAGGAGGATTCGGAGGAGGCGAAGGAGGAGGAGGATCGTGAGCCGAAAACAGCATCCACCAGTGAGGCGGATCAATGGCTGCGCAGGCACCGCACATCAAGCTAGAGGAAATGTTCAAAACATTCTCCAAGTCCAAGTGTGCGATCAGGACCGTCTGATGTCGGTCTGAAATCAAATTCAACGGGGTTTCATGAGCCCGCTAGACAGTAGCGAGGGATCTACTTTTTCATGTGCGGAGCCCTAAAGTGAAGCTCTGGAACTTCCTTTCTCGTGAACATGCTTCAAGGCCATGGATTTGTTGGCCCAGCCATGGGTAAGGCGCCGAGAGACTGATGAGCTTCTTATTTAGTTGTGCTATTATCGTATTCAGAATTCTGAACCCCACAAGCAAAGTATAGAGGCGTTGATCAACTGTTCAGTTTTTCGGCTAAACAAGAGGTCGGATCTAGGTTTCGCTTCTTGATTCTGGAAGTTTTTCTGTGGTGATAGGGTTTTCCAGGCTGCGGAACTACAAGAGGTTTGAAGCATTCTAGCAGTTCTAGCAAGGTCTTGACCCTCGTTGCACTGACGCGGCTTCAGCCAAATACTGGACTCCCCTCATTGCTTGAAGTGTTGGCTTTCCAGATTATTACGCACAGTTCAAAGTTGCGAGACGTCCCGGAGGTAGGACGTACCCCTCCACATTGAAGTCACTGAAAAGTCCCAAAGTCGTAATGCCCAGGCCAAGAAGTTCTGCGAGCTTTGCTCTCTGATGGTCGAAAGTCTATTATAAGCCAGTCGTGCTGTGCACCCGACGAAGACTATGGCGGCCGCCTTTCAGTCTCGCGAGGGGGCCTCCTGCTCACCGCGACGAGCTGCAATCTGGAGACAAAGTGTTTCTTCGGCAAGCAAACAGGCAAGCGCTTCTGACGTAGATGTGTGTAGAGTTGTCGGATGTCGGGCCGAAGCGCGATATTTCTGGCGCGCTGACCTCCTGGCACTGTGCTTTTGGTGTTGTTGAGTTCCCACAGTAACGAATTTGAAGCTGCAAGCTGTTCCGCATGATATGACTTGTATTTGCCGCAGTGCCCACCTTCTAGTATCGCCACGGCATCTTCCAGCTTGAGGCTGCCAACTATTGTATGGTTGAGTTGTTGAATCCCTCCTGTCTTGGAAGTGCCGGGATCCACCTCCTTGCTGCTACTGCTGCCGCTACAGTTGCTGCTCCTGCTCCTGGCTGGGATACCCAATCATTCCCAATCGTCGAACGGAGGTGGGAGGCCGGAACCATTGTCGGCGCAGATGCGAAGAGCCAGACTGCCTCCGACCCAGTAGCCCAGTAGCTATGCCGAGAATGTGAGTTTAATGCGAATGCCAATTCGATGGCTTCAGGTTCACGTCCAGCTGGCCTCCGGCGTCTACGCGCTCAGCCTGGCAGAGTCGGCGAGTCTCTTGCAGAAGGCGCCGGTTTGGCCGCCTTTTCCCTGAGTGGCTCTGACTTTGAGCTGCACTCTCAAACAAGATGAGGCCCCCATATTACACAGCTGGCATTGTAGACGTCTTCACCCTGTGTACATGCGACCTGCAAGTCCCAGAGATCTGGCCACGATGTCGAGCCAGCGCAGGTTTGCAAGGGTAGAGGGCAGAGACGGAGCAAACTTCAGAGTTCATGTTCGGATTCTTGTTGCGCAGCCATCGGACCTGAGTTGTTGTCGCTCCAGAAAAAGCAAAATGCACCCAGATCGCTCACCCAAAACATTGCGCACAATTGTCCCCACCACAGCGCTCATCCTAAGTTTGATTCTGAGTCTGGCTGTGTTTCTCGCTGCCCTGATTCGTAATCAGGCTCCTGCTCTTTCTCTGCAGCAGAGTCAGAAGTTTGAACCATGGAAGCGGCAGTCTCTCTATCAGCTCAGCACCCTCTAGAAGAAGCCACGAGCTACACCGGAAACGAAAAACTTGAAGGATAGTGTCGGACTTCTAGAAGCCTTTGCTACCACAGACTAAACTAAATCATGACTTCGTTCCACTTTTTACCGAAGCCTGGTGATCGTTTTCTCGAGGCTGCCCGTTTGCTCATTGTCGCTCCTGGCGCTGGGGTCAAGACGCTTGGCGTAAATTGAATTTCGGCTTGGGGTGCAGGGGCTCAAGGTAGCAATTTCACGGAACTCTATAACTGGAGTGCAATGGGGTTTGTTTCACCCTTGAAGCTCTGAAAGCGTAGTTTGTGTTCGGGGCGGGTCGGGAATGTGTAGTTGCTGTTCGGGGCGGGCCGGGGGGCGTGCATGGTTGGTGTTCGGGGCAGGTCAGGGGAATGAATAGTTGGTGTCCGGGTGGAGTGGGGTGGCGGGGAATGTGCAATGAGGAGTTGGTGTTCGGGTTGGGTTCGAGGGGATGAGTAGTTGGTATTCGGGGCGGGTCGGGCGAAATAGTAGATGGTCTGTATGCATGCATTTATGTATGCATGGATGCATGCATGTATGTGAGCATGTATGCATGTATGTGCGTACGTATGTATGCCTGTATGATTACATGTATGTGTGCATGTATGTTATGTATGTACATGTGCAGTTATGCATGCATGTACGCATGCCGGTGCCTTCCTACCTGCGTGCCTGAATGCATGTTGGTGCCTGTGTATGCGTGTGTGTGTGTATGCATGCATGCTTGCATGCCTGCATGTGTGTCTTTCTGTTTGTGTGTCTGTCTGCCTGTTTTGCTGGTCTTATATGTGTTTACCTACATGTTTGATCTTTGCGCAAGTACGCTTGCGCGCGTGTATTGTATTGTAAGTGCAGTATCGTGCACGGGGAGGTGCAGATTCCTGTAATTTGTCCCACCATTCTCTAAGTTGCGGCCTTCAGAGATGTTTGGGTCCGATCCATGTTCAGCTTGGAGTTTTCGGTAGTTTTGGATGCGGTCCTAGCACCGCTGGAGCGTCCATTTTGAGGACCAGGCGCAAGGCCAGAAGCGCTTTGAACTATAGCTACTTCTTGAAGTTTCTTCGGGACTGGGCCCTTAGCGACGCTGTCCTTCCGTTTCGTGTAGAAAGTGTGTGGGAGTGGGGAGCAGCCTTGAGGACACTCGGTGCCCGATTTCGAGCGCTGGGTGCAGAGCCAGGCTTCCAGGCACGGGAATCAAAAATTCAGCACTTCCGGTCTAGGGCCCAGGGCGCATGGCTTCCATGCCCTGCATGTCTAATGAAATCTAATGAAACTGTGCTCTGCGGCTACGGCAAGCACTATATGCGTTCAACCACAGCGATGCGCTGCAACGACTGGAAGCTTACGCGCCAGAAGTCTGCAGCTTCATTGAGTGACTCTTCTCGAGATGGCCCACCGGAGTTCTTTCTCGCTGCCTTACATCTCCCAGTACTTGCGTGTTCTCTACACCGGGAGTTCTTCCAAGCTAAAGTTTCTCGAACTCTACATACAATATCCTGCAACGAAGCCGCTCACAGCCTCATACAGCTCGGTGACAGGTAGAGGTGGCCGGAAGAAAAGGCGTACTTTACGAGCCTCGGATCACTTATGGCGACCTCTTTTGAGGGGTCGTGCCAATGCATTAGATCGTCGAGGAGGCTTACGAGCTGTGAAACCGCTCAACACCCCTGGACGTTGGATAGCTGATTAGTGACCTGATCAGTTTGCACCTTCTTCTGGCAGTTTGCTATAAAGCTGTCGCTCGTGGCCTTGATTGTCAGCCGCTGTCTGCTATCAGAACGCGACCCCAACGAACAAAAGCACTCAATGAGATCAATTGGAGTCAAGATTGGGCATCGTGGTGCTAAGTGTCATAAGTCTTGAGATAGAAGGCTGGTGATCTTTGGTGCCCCAGGACCGGTATCCTGAGTGTTGGGACACTGGGGCTGGTGCCCCAAACCTGCGGACCTTCGGGGAGGACACACTCGGACAGTTTTGAGAAGGCTAGGCTAGGGGAAGTGCATGATTTTAGGGTTGCCATGCTGCTATAGTTTCGCAGTGAACTGGAATTTGGAGATCGGCTTCAGGTGAAGCAGATTGTTTTCCATGGATTCAAACTGCGGATGTGCGCCACGAGGTTCGGTGCACTCGGCTCGCAAGTCACCAGCTATCGCAGGAACAGCAACCCGACTTGTTGTCCAGATTTCCCTTGAGAGGACCTCGTTCGTATGGGCATTCATCGCAGCCGCTTCTTCTGCAAGACAGTAATCAGTAATTACAATTTTTTCTTTGCGTCATTGCCTCTGCACAGATCGGGTGCTCAAAGTGCCGGATTCAAGAACACAGGCAGCAAGCCCGACTCCAACCACAGCACCTCAGTCCATCTCGCTCGCCTGGACTCCTTCAAAACTCACGGCTTTCACAGTCATGAGCAGACACTACATTAGTAACATTAGTAGTAGAGTGTGTCAGTCATCATTACTGACTTCTTGAAGAGTCGATTCGGACAAGCCTTGCACTCAAGTCAAGTGCTCTCAGGAGCAGACTGCTTGATCTTCGGCTCACGAGGACGGAACAGCAGCGAAACCAGTAAGTGAACTTGAGCTGGGACAGCCCGGAACTAAGTCTTCGCATCGGTTGTTGCCTCCTCAAGCAGCAGTACTGTATGCGCCGTGCTCCGACGTGGGTCCCGACCTACCAGGCGGACAGGTGGTTCTGCCGCTGATGTGGAGTGCCCTTGGCGACGAAGTGCCACCCAGACGCCAGGCTGAAGTCAGTCGGAGAGCCTTGCAAAAGCACTCTCGACAGAAAATCTGCTGAGGGCATTCAGACGACAGGATAAAACAGTGCCTTGTCGCCGATCTGTTCCTGAAATCTAGGTTCTTCAAGATGCCAAGCGTACCTAGTCCACACAGCATAGCCTGATCTGGAAGCAAGACCGTAGATAGAAAGCACATCAAGGCGGGGTTCGTCATGAGCCTGAACCTCCCCAGGTGTTGTGGTCAACGGTGGTTGTGCGATGCAACTTCCGGGTCCTGTTGTACGATGGCCACATCGCCAGGGTCTCTCAGAGCCGTAAGGAGTGGTTGTGGTGTCAATGTACATAATTTTTATTCACAGATGTTTTTTTCGAGGGCGAAGACTCGTGGTGTTGCAGCTGCAGTTCATGACAGCAAGACAGCCTAAACGATCCATTCAAGGTTCTTCGATCCGGCCAGGAATAAGACACAACTGAGCCTGTTGGTTTCGTGTTTCGAGTGATGCATTTCGCGGTTGTGCTGCCTGCACGCAACCTCCAGAGTCTGGTTTCAGCATTGTTCCGTTCGTGCATATACATATGAGTAACGTGTAAAGATATACAATATACATTAAATTTGTACAGACAGATAGATGAATAGACAGCTGCGTAACGGTAGATACCTATGCATGCATACATGCATACATACATACACACATGCACAGACGGTCGGACGGACAGACAGACACGCAGACAGAGAGAGAGACAGAGAGATACATACCTACATACAGAAAATACATATGTACTTATATGCATACAGGCATGCACATATGCAGACGTATGCTTGCATAATCGTGCATACATGCATACGTATACGTGCATAGATACATACGTACGTGCGTACATACACACAGACATACTCGCCTACACACTCACATACATACACACATACATAGGCACATGCATATATATATATATATATAATTATTGTTATTATTATTATTATATACATGCAACATGCCTACAAGCATGCCTGCATCCGTCCATCCGTCCATCCATCCATCCATCCATCCATCCATCCATCCATGCATCCATGCATCAATGATAGCATATGCATTCCTATGCATGCATGCGTACCTTCGCACGGTGTGTGCACACATACATGTATGCCACCTACACACACTTATGCATGCATACACTAATTCATTCACTCACTCACTCGTTCTCACAGTTCTCACTCACTCTCACTCACCCAGTCAGTCAAATTCCGAACGACTTCTTCGAAATACTTGACGTTTTCCACCAGGTGCAGTGACGGTGATGCTGCTGGGCGGTCAGGCTGGAAGCCAGAGTTGCTGCAGAAGTTTCTGGATTGTACAGCGTGCTTAAGACAGGAAACGTCAGTTTTAGGACCTGAGACAAAGACAAAATCAACAAAATCCACCATTGAGCCATGCAAAGGAACAGGTTTCGAGGCTTTAAGTCAGAGTCTTTGCTGATGCATGTGGCAGGGAGTGGCTCTAAAGCATTGGCTGAATTGCGGTTGCAGAGATCTAGAGTCTAGTCGCGACTGAGTGCACTTTGCATGCTCCCTCCGCCGCTCATTCGCTTTCTTTTAGGCCTCCCGAGCCTTTTGAGAAATCCGGACGTCTGGTAGTGGCCCTCCGACCACGGATTCAATGTTCAGGCCAATCAGCCCAAGCTCATGTAATGACCGAATGGCACAGAGGGCTTCCAACTGATAGCACAGCGGCGAGAGAAATGCCCCTCAATCCGGCCGCCAAGCCTACTCGCAAAGTTTACACGAAAGCTGCGATGCACCCTTTGCGTGGCCTGAACACATGACTGACGCAGACCGTGAGGTCGTGCCGTCTCTGCCCCCTCCCTTGCCGCGGGATCCGCGTCGATCCTCCACCAGCTTCCGCCTCGCGCGCGCTGCGGAGTCCTCCTCGGCGCTGCGCTCGGACAGCGCCCCGCCTGGGCCTGGTGCGCCCTCGGGCGAACGGCTCGGCGAGCGGTCGGAGGTCCGGCTGCAAGCCCTGGAGCAGTGGCGTTTGGACTTCGGAAGCGGTGGCCCGGGAGCCGTTCGCGTGTCGGAATTTGCAGAGTTCACACCTTTGCCAACAGACGACGCCCGACGGGAAGCCTACATACGCCCTGCAAACAAGCGTGACCTGGGACACCGCTGCTACCACTGTCGCAGACCCTTCAGTGCACTGGGTGCCGAGATCGTCACTGAGATACAGGGCGGTCCGACACAGAGGCAGGGCCTGGCAGGAACAAAAGTAGCCGAACTCCGTCGTCACCCCGTCAAGCATTTTGCGACATGCTTTAAATCCCGCGAGGTTCCATCCGGAGTGCTGGAGGGAACGTGGTCGGCGTGTGCCGCCCCTAAAGCTGGCACGACGACAGGCCAGTGACGTGTCGGAAGCGGGGGAGATGAGTGCTCGCAGCACAGGTTGGATTCTCAAGAGCCGAGTTGCGAGGTTCACGCTGGCTGTGACGTGCTTGCGCGTTCGTCCTGAGGTGGGAGTGCGCCATTGCCTTCCTATGCCGAAGAGTGGCGGAGGGCAAGTCTCGATGGCAGCACAATCCGAGCTCGGCCTGCATCACGTAGGCACTCCAGGTCCAGCAGACCACCAATTCTGGATGGGGTGAATGCCATCGAGGACCGTTAAGATCTTCTCTTTTTTGAGGAATTCCATTATGTCTCGGCATTACAGGCCGTCTCGGGTCTCCATGCTGCACACTCTGACTGAGGACGCGCATGGCGAAAAGAAAGTGGCACGTGGCTTCTCCATGCAGGAGACCCGGTGCACCGGAGAGGCACAGAGATAAAAATAGAACGTAGGAGATGCTGTAGGCAACAGACAAGGTTTCGGTGGACCTCATTCCATGTTTATCGCGTGCACACCGATGTAAGTCAAAAGGCACCCGATCTTGTTGTGTAGCACACGTGTGTGCGCATGGACATGAGCGATTCGTCGTGCCGGCAGCTGTCCCGGCTCGACATCGCTTTTTCGGCGATCAGACGCTCTGTAGCATCTCCACCCGGCCTTGCCATGTCTTTCTCGGCGGTGGATCTTGAGGCGGCCTTTGCGGTGATCCTCGCGGCGTTGGAGGAAGGGGAGGACTTGGCTCCCTTCCTCCAACAGTTCCCCGCAGGCGCCAGGCGTGCCCTCATCTTGATGCTGCAGGCGTCGCTCCCGGCGAGCCGGACAGCAGTAAGTGGAAACCCGGCACCGCCTAAGGCGGCTGCGCCGGCAGTTGGTCCCGGCGTTGGTGGTGCATCTGGGTCCAACGATGGAGCTCCCGGCGGCACTGGTGCCTCTGGCTCGGGCGATATGGCGGCGTCTGCCGCGGCGGGGCAGGGCATCCCGGAGCCCAACCCGGAGCCCCCTGCTGCTTCGCAGGCGCCCGGCTACCCGGCACCCTGGCCGGTGCCACCGATGCAGAAGCGGCCTCCACCGGTGCCGGCGGGAAGCGGCGATGGTCAGCAGCCTTCCCCGGCGACGGCGGCCCCGGCTAAGCCAAAGCCGAAGGGCCCGCCTGTCGCCCTGTGGGCCTCCGAGGGCTTCAACTCGGAGGCGGATGCCCGGCAGGCCCGGGAGCTCAACTTCGTCACGGCGGCGGAGTTCTACGCGGCCTGGGCGGCGGCATCTGCGAAGCAGTCCTCTTTCCCGCCGGCGAAGCCGGCGCCGGTGGCCAAGACGCCGGCCCCCAACTCAGCGGAGATGACGGCGCTGCAGAACCAGATTGCGGCAGAGATCGCGGCGGGGACCCCGGCACAGCCGGCCCCTGCCGGCCCTGCGGCCCAGGCGCCCGTCCCTCCCGGCTTCGTCCGCATGGAGATCCGCGGCGTCACCTACACGGTCAACCGGACCACGGGGGAGGGCTTCCCGGAGCTGCCGCGGCGTCCCGGCCGGGGGGCGTCGGAAGCAGAGCGCCGCCACAACGATGAGCTCTTTCGGCGGCTGGTTGATGTTCGCTTCCGGCTCTGCTCCGTCGAGTGGCAGAACCACATTCGGCGGATCAACCAGGACGGCGCCTCCTCGGACGTCCCGGTCCCGGCGGCGATGTTGGCCTCCATCGTCGACTCGGTGGAGGCCCTCGAGGAGCTCGAGGATCGGGCGCGGCTTGGCGGCGGTGCGGCCACGGCCGTGGTGCCCACGTCTCCCGGCGCAGCGGATTACATTGTCCGCTCGCTGGTTCCAAACCATCGCGGCGGTCGCATCCCCGAGCGGCTGTCCGGCGAGGTCTGGTGTGTGGGCTGGTGTGGACGGCCATGTCCCGGCTTTGAGGGCGTCTGCCAAAGCCCCGGCGGCAGATGCCTCCGCCCGATCCTCATTCGGCGTGGCGGCACAGTGGACCTGGAGGCGCACATCAATCACCTGTGCGATGCGTGCCGGCGCTACCGGAACACGCGTGACGGCCGGTTCTAGTGCCGCCCGCCGGCGGGCTACTTTGACCTCGGCGAGCCCTACCTCTTCCTGGCGATCGCCCGCATGGTAGGTCTCCTGGCGTAGCCCTCAGCCGGTTTCTTCTTTTTGGGTCCCGGCGGTGCCGCGACGCCTTCGCGGGCCTCTCCGGCAGCCGCTGGCCCACGATGCTTTAATTTGTTTCTGCACTTGCTTCCCGGCGTGCCGTAAGTGCAGGTCGGGAGGCCCAAGAGCCTCGGATCATAGCCTGGCGCGAAAAGTCGGCCCGGCGGTGTGTGCCTGGTGTGCAGTCGGCGCAAGTGGCAGTGCTGTCTCCTACCCGGCCCGCCCCCTCCGACCCTAATCGTCGTGGCGCGTTCGTTGAGGTCGTAGCGGCTCAAGCTCCCCCCCGGCTCAAGGATGTCGGCGGTTGATCTCTCGGCCGGCGGCGGGTTCGCCCAGGTGGCGCGGGCCTTCGTCGACATCCAGGCTCAAGAGTTCCTGCCGATCCTGCCGGCGGTGGGGGTGCACGACCTCCGAGGCGCCCTGGACAACACCGGCGCACTGCTCCTGGCCGGCGTTCCAGAGGAGGTGCTCCTTAGGCTGGGGGCGTGGCGCCCGGCCCCGGAGAGCTCAAGTCGAGCCCCGGCGCCCAGCCCGGCGGAGAGCAGGTTGGCCCTCCCGCCAGGCGAGCAAGGCATTCAACCGGCAGTGCCCGGTGACCCGGAGCCGGCCGGTCAGGGCTGACATCCCGGTGAGGCGCGACGGCCGGCGGGCCTGCAAGAGGACGGCCCTTCAGGCAGCCTTGCCAGAGCTCCAGGCGGAGTCGCTGGCGGACCTCGACGGCGCCATCATGGCGCGCTCCTCGAAAGGACCCTTCCGGTCCAGGGTCCGGACCTGGGTGGACTTCACGGCGGCCTGGGCCCTGCCGGCGTGGCCGATCTCCCTGGACTCCGTCAGGAAGGTCGCGGCGAGCATGCGGAAGGGCAGGTACCGCTCGGCGCAGAACTACTTCGACGCGGCGGTGACCTACCAGGAACACTTCCGCGGCGAGCTGGTGGACCCGCTAGTCCGGCGGGCCATCCGGCGTTACGCCAAGGCGGTGGTACGTGGCCTCGCGGGGTCCAAGCTCAAGGCGATCTTCCCGGCCATGCGGCTGGAGCCTCTGCTGGATCCCTCGCCGGCGTCCGCCGCGGAGCCTTGGGCCCCATGGAAGGCGGCGCACTCGGCGGACGCCCTCCTCCTGGCGGTGTGGTTCATGCTGCGTGAAATCGAATTCGCGGCGGCCCGCACCGAGGACATTGAGGCCGGCGAGGACTGGGTCCTTCTTCGGATCCCCCTGCACAAGACGGCGCAGGGTGGCGAGAGAGAGCTAACGGCGCGGCAGCTCAAGCGCCTTGACCCGGCCGGCGAGTGTGTGATCCTCCTCGTCGCGGCGCCCCCCTGCCAAGATTTCTCCCAGATCGGCGCGGAGGCGGGCCACAGTGGCGCCCGCGGCAGCCTGTTCTTGCGCTCGGCGGAGTTCGTCCTGGAGCTGAGGGCGGCGCTCCGCGGCTGGCGGGTTGGCTTCATGTTCGAGAATGTTGTCATGCAGCCGGCGTCGGCCAAGGAGGTATCCGACTGCCTTGGGGTGGAACCGGCGCTGGTCTGCGCCTCCGATTTCGGGTGGATCTCGAGGCCGAGGCTCTGGTGGCTCTCGGCGGACCTCCGGCAGCACACGGAGGACCCGGCCACCGGCGCACCCCTGGTCTGGACCAAGAAGGGGCCGTTCCACCGTCTTCGGCTGGAGGAAGCCAGGGCGGCGGCCAGCACTATGCTACCGGTGGGCATGGCCTTTCACCCGGCGGTGGCGTCGAGCAGGTTGCTCCTGCCATGCGCCACCACGCCGGCGGAGGACGAGAACGGCCGCCCGGCGCCGAA